CACAGAACCTAGGAAATAATCTGCACTATGTTCCTTGATGGGTCCATTCCAGGAATGGTTCCTAGGTCCTTGAGAAAGACCTTGCTGGATTATAAAACTGGCAAGAGGCTTCTAAAAAGATTTACATCTCCAAGGGAAAGAGATATAATTTACTATTGCAAGTTTTCTCAAGCAAATGGTGGAAGATAAGGGAGGTCAAGAGGGGCCTGGAGTCAGAGAGAAGCCTGTTTAAAGTTTAGCCAAGCTGAGGGGAACATTAAAGTCATTAAAAAAAAGAACAAAAGAAAGAAAAGAGCAGGATGATAGTCACTTATTGGAAGTAACATTTGCAAATATCTTCTCCCATTTGGTTGGTTGCCTTTATGTTTTGTGGATGATTTCTTTTGATGTGCAGAAGTTTTTTAACTTGATGTAGTCCCATTCATTTATTTTTGCTTTTGTTTCCTTTGCCTTTGAGATCAAGTTCACAGCAGCTCCTCTGAGACCAATGTCCATAAGTACATAGGTAAAGGGATCAAACATATGGAAGTGGAAGGAAAGTGAACTCCGGGTGGTGAGGCACACAGTAGGTATACAGATGTATAATTATAATGTACACACGCAAATTATATAATGTCATTAACCAAAGTGACTCCCATGAAAGTTAAAAACAAACAAAAAACAGAGCAGGAGAATATACAGGTCTGGCTAATGCTAACCTGTGGCTTCCATACAACCCCTGAAAAGGGAAAGACTTTATCCTACAGCCTGTGGTGGGGCTGATTGTTTGTGTGGTGGCTCTTCTGTGATGGAGAAATAGCTGTTGAGACCTAAAGGAAGACAGCTCAGTACTGTGGTGGAAATACAGAAGGATAAAGAATGGGCTAGACTAGACTGTGAAAGTTGTGTGTAGTGTGGGAAGTGGAATTGAGACTTTCCTTTCTTCTGGAAAACAGTGGTGCCTTAGGTTGAACTCTGCGAGGGATTTTGGCATCCCTGCAAGGAGATAAGTCTGCTGTAGACTATAGAGTGAGGAGCTGGTTTGAGGTGATAATGGAGCACGTAAATAGAATTTTTTCATACCTAGGAATAGGAACAATGCCCCAGGTTGTTGCTTTTGGAGTGAAGCCATGCATGTGACAGGTGGTGATGAGCATGTCATAGACTAAGGGTTCTCTTAGGGACGTGTGATAACTTAATTTTACTTATTCTCCTCTCCCAATATTAGTTCAACTGGAATTGGGGGGAGTATGGAAAAGCTAAAGATATTTTAGCTTTATTTCTTTCCTATGATGTTTTACTTTTTCCTCTGTGTGCTTTAGGATTGAGTAATGTTTACAGACCTCCCTCTGTTATCTTATTTTTGCATCTATTAAAGAGTGCCACATAATGATAATATGCAGGTTTTTTTATCTTAGAATAATGTGTTTCACTTTCACCTAGTTGATATATTGGATTTGTGAAATTTATTGTTTGATTTTTCAAGGCGGACGTGGATGAGAATCACAGGGGCCATGATTAATACCTGAATGTCACAAGATTCAGAAAGCTTAAATATTGGCAATTCCTTCCTTGAGTCTGCCTTCCATGGGTAATTATATGTTTAATGATATAATCTCCATTAGGGTGAGGAAGATGTAAGTCTTTTTCACGGCTGTATTGTCAGCGTTCCACACAACTCCTGACAAATCGGAACGCCAGATGGTAGAAGGCCTACGGAAACTCACTTAACCAGTGAGGCTCAGCTCATAACAGAATCTTTGACAAAGCCAAGTTAAAAACATATAAATGATTTTTCCTCAGGTGGGAAGTAATTTCACACTCATCATCTGTGAATAATCATGTAATGGCCTGTAACTGCGCCTCTGAACCTGCAAGGCCCATGTCAGTCACTGTGGCAAAGAAAGAGCCAAAATAAATAGCATTTATTGGTAGCTAATGGGGATAAGGCAGTTTCTCAAGCTGTTTAAATGTTAGTTCAATTAAACCTCCAAAGAGCCCTTTAAGGAAGGTTTGATGACCCTGTGATGGGAAAATCTTGTCCAGAGAGAAGAAATTACTTTTCAAGTTGACTAAATATTGTAACTAGATCTTCCATTTTCATTCTGTCCAGAATCCTTTCTAGACAACAGGGTGCCTCTACCTCTCTGATCTTGGAGGCAAATGACTCACTTAGGAAGGTGACAAGGGTGTTTTCAAAATGCTCCATGTTAGGTTACAAGCACAGAGCCCACAAATTGGATGAAAACCACCTTTCATTTTCTAGGTGACCCAGGTCCTTTCTGGAAGTTTTCAGTAGGTTTATTTTTAGGCAGTTATTAAAGTGAAATAAGACATAAATAACTGAGGTGAATAAAAATTTATTCATTCAGCATTGTTAATAATAATGAATATTGGAATCAACCTAATTGAGCAACAATGGAAGAATATTTATCCAAATATGTGATGAAATATGACACAAGGCATCTAAATTCATGTTCAATATGAGTATATTTAAAGATCAAGAAAATGTCATAGTACATTTCTAAGAGAAAAGAGCAGAAAACTAGGTATATATACTACAAAAATTTGAATATGACAATAAGAACATATATATGTATTTATGAGTGTGTATATGTATATATATAGTTTTTAAAAACTGGAATAATATAATTCAATATGTACTTAACAGTTATCTCTGGGATTTGAGATTTCACATCTCTTTTGTTTTATATTTCTGGTTTTCTAATTTTCTAAAGTTAACAAGTATTTGCTTGATATAAGAACAATTGTTTTTTTAATTATTTATTTTTTTCAGTTATAGTTGACATTCAACATTATTTTACATTAGTTTCAGGTGCACAACATAGTGGTTAGACATTGATATAATTTATGATCCCTCTGATTAGTCTAGTACCTACCTGGCACTGTACATAGTTGTTGCAACATTATTGATTATATTTTCTATGCTGTACTTTACATCCTCGTGACTATCTTGTAACTACTAATTTGCATTTCTTAGTCCCTGCACCCAGCTTCTCAAAACCCCTCCCCTCTGGTAACCACCAATTTGTTCTCTCTATATATGAGTCTGTGTCTGTTTTGTTTGTTTGTTTATTTTGTTCTTTAGATTCCACATATAAGTGAGATCATATTATATTTGTCTTTCTCTGTCTGACTTATTTCATAATATTTTATTAGCATAATATCTTCTAGGTCCATTCATGTCATCTCAAATGGCAAGATTTTCATCTTTTTTATGGTTGAGTAATATTCCATTGTGTATATGTACCACAATTTCTCAGAACAATTGTTCTTTACAGAAAGCAAGATAGAGACTGGAGGTTCAGATAACAGGAGGAAAACATATCTTCCCTGTCGCCAAGCTGCAAAGGCTCGGGATTGATACAGGAACAAGGCTGGAACCACTGCAGATGGCACCCATTACCGCACCCATCCCTGCAACCTCCTCTCTTCCTCAGCTGTTTCCATATTTTGCATTCCAGCCAAAGGTACAAATTATTGTTGTGGAACATGCTAGGCTTTTTCTGTGTGTTCTTTCCTACTGTGGCATGTTTCTAATGCTGTTGCCTCTTTGGAATGCCTGCCCCAGGCTGCCCTGTCCACCCCCCAAGGCTTCTAGGCAGCTCTGTGCTTTCTTCCCCAATGCCTTCTGCTGAGGTTTGGCGTTCAGTCAACTTGAATGTTTGGCCTCCAGGGATCTGCTCAGCCCAGCACACAATGCCTCAGTGCCTCCTCCTACGCAGCTAGTCTATCCCTTCCTGAGGCACTAACATATGCTCGTTACCGGAGAGGCACCAGCCACAAAATCATTTCACATCCCTCTTCCTTTCCTCTTCTTTCTGAGGTGGGTCAACTGGGGCACACATGGTGGGGAGTGCGTGGACACCTGGCACTGTGCTTTAGGGTAGTTGGATCTTCCACTGGCACTGCTCCATTCCTGAAGGAATCCAGGGAAGATGTCAGGAAGAGATGGGGGTGTGCTTAACAAAAACATGGTGTCCTAGATGGTCTCAGGAGCAGGCAGAGTAGGCAGCTCTGGAACATTGTGCCAAGGACCTCCAACCATCCTGGGGAGTGGAGTATTAAGGAGACATTTCAACGTCTCGGGTAGCATGTCTCATCACGGCATATCAGCAAAGAGTTCATGTGAATTACCTTGACAAATGCTACAGAGCAGAGAGAAAAACCTAAAGGACACCAGGAGGACCAGGTCTGTTCTGCAGCATTAGGAAGACAGGGAGAGTTCAGTGTGGTCCTAGATCAGGCCCTGGAACATAGATATGCCATTCTCTAGGGTTGGAAAGGCTGCTACAGGCAAGGCAATCCCACAGGAGGATTTGCTCACTGACTTCTTTCTTTCCTGCCTGGATGAAAATAGCTCTGGGGCCCCCATGAGTTGGCATGAGATGGTTTTTCTTCCTACGCACTCACTCAGGATGCTTCAAGAGAGTCTCGCATTCCCTGTCAGAAAAGTGTCAGCACAGCCAAGTGTACCTGGAGTATTAGAAATCTTTGTCTTAATCCAAAGAGATAGTCTGTGCTTCATGAGCAAGTACAGACTGGCTTCCTCTGTGAGAAGCTCTTGTTGTCTAGAAGCCTCCAGTGGCCTCATCATTTTTTTGTATGCTCTTAAAGAAAAAAAAAATCGGGTGAATCTTCAGGTAAGGAGTTGCCTTTTCAAGACACCTCCATACTATAAAATAATACAATTATGTCAAAAGAGTACCCTCTGATTTACTTCTGTCTTCTGAGTAGTCATACGTCTGTCTCTGAGGTCTATACTTGTATTTATTACTAACCAAGGTTGAACTTTTCCTGAGCACTTGTTCTTGGGGAAGGGTGGAATAGACTACCCAAGTGACGGATAGAGAGTTTACAATGGGCAGACTAGAAACGGATTTTCACTTCCAAGGTGGTCTTAATATCCTGATTATCTCTGCTTTGGTGATTGTACTAGAGGGCAACATCCTGAGACAGTATCTCAGAGCATCATTGTAAAGACATTACCAGGAGGAAAAATGGCCAAGCCTTTCTCAGTACTCTACTCACTTTGGTTCTTCATCCTGATACATTGGGCGTTACCTTCTGGTGAGTAATTTGATGGGTCCTAGCAGGCAAATAAGGTTGATTTGTGGGCTCTAACGTTATCTCAAATAGAATGTTTTGAAGTTCATATTTATTTATTTAAATGTATCATTTTACTATACCTATGTTTTCGTATCTGTAGGGAGAAAGACAATGGAATGTGTGTGTGGGGGGGAAGCTCTGGACCAATAGGCAGGGGCCTTAGTTTTTCCATCTATTAATGCAGATTATGAGACCCATCTCATGGGGACCAGAGGGAATAATAACATGTGAAAGTGATTGGCAATATGCCTACACCACAGCATATCTCAAAAACGCAGTATTTTTTAAAATGCTTTGCCATATATTTGAGTGGGTCATTATCTTTGGTGTCCTCTTTTAGAGAAGAGTCATGTAGGGAGTTACAAAGTCACCTAGCCTCAAGGACTGAAGAGTTGATTTTTTCATATATCTGCCATGAATTCCTGGGCATTTCATAAGCGAGTGTCTTTCCCCTCTCTGTAAAATGTGGGGATTGGGCTAAAAAGTCTCTTTAAAGTTCTAGCATTTCTTAATTTCTTTCAGATACTTATCTGGGCTGCCAGTTTGGAATCTGCTCAAGTCGAGGCTAATTCCTGTTAATCAAAATGTTATTTGGTTTATTGGATTGGCAACATTTATGAGAGCAGTAAGGTGTCTATATAGTCATCTGCTGATTACCTATCAGGAGTAGAAGAGTTGTTCTGCATTTTTTTTTAAATAAGTGAATACATGTATAAATGAAATAATGTTTGAAATTATTACAAGCTCCCTTGGTAATAATTTAGAAATCTTTTATTCTGCCAACAGATTGAGATATGATTTTCCAGACACTAGATTCTGTAACTATTTTCAGTATGTTTTAGTTTCAGGCCCTCGACACTGGTGGCCCTCACACGGAAATATTAAGGTAAGCTCCCATTAGATTTCCCGGGACCGAGGATCTGATCTGAGTTTTTCTTGGAGTGGCTCTTTTAGAACCGTACTGCAGCAAGGTCATCTGTGGCATTCTTTAAGGACCACTCATATTAATGTGACAGGTACACTGCAGGTATAGGAGCCCAGAGTAGAGTGATCCAAACTGGAAACCAAGCTGAGATGTGGTCAGGCAAACACTAGAGAACCTTCCATAGTGTCTGGGTGATATGCATGAGCGACTGTCGGGGGCAGGGCAGGCTCGGAAGAGCCCACAGACTTGGGCATCACACGGTTTTTGCTCTCAAAGAGCTCACAGTTTGGAGAAGGAAATGCTCGGAAATGCTCTGAGGCATGCAGATCATGCTTACGTGAGTTTTGAATAGGAAACACAACCTCTGAGATACAGGTTGAGGAAAATGTGAAGGAATAGGAAATCCCTGAATAGACCTTTGAAAAGTGAACTATGAGTTGACAGGTGAGAAAGGCATTATGAGGGCAGCTTGGCTTTCAAGGGACACACAGATCAGAGTGTAGAACCTGATAGAGGCTGTAGCTCCAAAGAATTTGTCCAGAATTTATACTCTGGTTTCATAGAATCCAGTCTTAGCATTTTCCTCTCCAGAAAGTTGCGTGCAGGAGTTATCCGCTTGCCTATCCATCCATAAATAAAAATTAACTTACTCACCATTACTTATTGTCTTTAATGAATATTTACTTAGCTCCTGTGCATATCCCCTTTTTTTCATGAAGCTTACAAATAGCCAGAAAAAAAGGGAAAGGGACGACTATTAGATACTACTAATAAAGAGATACTACTATAACAGTGTGATCAGTGATGGCCTCTCTGGCATGGGCACATCTAAGCTGAGACCCGAAGGGGGGAAAAACCACCACCCAGGTGGAGAGCAATGAGGGAGACTTGACCTACTTGAGTCGCTGATTGAACACCTGTGTGACTGGACCGTAGAGAGAGAGGGGAATGCAACAGATGCTGCAGTTACGGCAGTAGGTGGGACCCTCACCTGATGAAAACATCCCACTTGAAAGACGGGGAAATAAATGGAGCTATATTTATAGACAATGATGCTAACTATTCTTGCTTCAAGTTACAAATGTTTATGCAATGACTGCGTGCCAATATTTGTGCTGGGCGCACAACGGTTCATCTAATCAGGTACAGACCTTACCCTTCTGGGCTTCAAATTCTTTGGGATGTGTAATTAGCCAAATCATTATCCAAATGCCTTATTACACACTGATTAGAGGTATAAAAAGAAAGAATGGGGAGTTGGGATTGTATTTAGAGAAATATTGCTGAACAAGTGGGTTATATAACCTGAGTGCTGAAGGTAGAATGAATTTAGGTTCAGGAAAAAATGTGTTTGGTGGGATGGTCATGACAAACCAGAAGACCAAAGATGGAGGGAACATGGAGCAATTGGGGGGTGGTGGGGGAGGGGGCGGAAATAACTAAAAAGGCAAAGAGCAAGGTAGTATACAGCAAGCTTGGAAGAGTGGGGAGGGTCCAGCTCACATGAGGGCTTCTATTTCATACTGAGGACATTTTTTATGTGAAATGAGGTGCAAAGGATCAATGGAACAACATGATTCAATGGATATTTAAATTATGGAGATTAGTGGACATGGGGAATAGAGACAATGGGGGGGCTAGTTGGGTGACAGATATACAGAGGGTAAATCACGGTGGCCTGGCCATGATGGTGGTGGTAGATAAATAAGGACAGTGGGAAGAAGAGTTTCTAAGCTCAAATATGAGTCCTCTTTCTCTAAATACTCAGCCAAAACTCTCTTCCACCTTGTATCAGAGGTGCTTTATCTGTCGTATGGCACTCATAGAGCCCGTGAGACCGCTGTCGTCAAGCTCCACCATCCCAGAGTCACTGCTTCAAGCCACCACTGACACCAGCCTTGCAAGCAGACATGTGTTCTAATCCCTGATGACACATGTCCCTTTCTTTGTTTTCAGTTTTCCCTACAAAATCAGGGAGTTCTTTTCAATGACCTCACATTTCAAAACTTCAAAATAAGAGTTGGCTTGGAGTTTTTAGAGTGGATGAAATGTAATAAATATTTTAAATCAAGGCACATGGATTTCAATGAAACATCTTTTTCCAATTATGGGGCTTTAGTTTCCTTGGCTGAGTTGGCATAGAAAATCTCGAAGAATATTCCCAGAGCTAATAGTCTGGGAACAAAGGAGATTGAGAAAGAAGCTAAATTTCCCCAATGGATTCTGTTCATCCAGTCTTCCTATTCCTGCTCTAGCATAGCAGGCCTCTGTTCTCTATTGCTGTCAGGAGATCCTGGCATTGTGTTGTTATCAGATGGGTATACATAGCTTCTGGTTCCATTGCTTTGTGGAGGGGGGAGCTGTGAGAGCTTTTGTGAGACTGGGCTATGATCCTGGCTGTGTTTAGATTTTCCTAATATAGTCCAGAGGTGACCTACCCACCTGTGAGTGTGAGTCTAATTATATCATTCCTTTCAACTGAATTTCAGGTGAAATGTCCATATAAAAAAGTGGACTTGCGTTGGTTCAGAGGAACAATAAACCCCTGCCATGGGACACATCAACCCATCTGTGGCACCAATGAAGTCACCTATGAAAACCCCTGCCTCTTGTGCATTGAGAGCTTGTGAGTATGATTTGGAGAAAAGGAAAGAACAATGGACAAGCTTAGGCCACAGCAATTATTATCTACCTTTCCTCTGTCAGCGTTGATGTTGGGAATTTGCACAGATAATAACAAGTCCCTCCTCAGAAAAGCATTTGGTCATCTAAAACTCACTGGAGCAGTGAGTAGACTCACTGTGTGCAGGCGTGCTTGTTAGGTCCTTTCTTCCTTGCATCCCTATATACCAAGTGATGGATGGACTTTCATTGGAAGCTTCAAATATCCCTTCAAGTCCTGAAATTCTTTGGTTTTTAAGACAAATTCTGGCTTTGCCTTTTCTTAGATATAGTCAACCTCTGATGTATCTGAAACTCCGAGCTAGGAGGTGACAGCAAATGTGGGTCCTTTCACTAAGAAGGAGAGTTTAGAGTTTTTGGATTTACGAGACATGATTCTGTGACAAGACATAGCGGTCTCGCAAAACCATGACTTCAGTTTTGACCTCTGGATAAGCCAGTGCAGTTCACAAGGAGGAAAATTATTCCCATGGCATCAGACTGGAGACTTCATCCCAGTAATTATTTTGTAATTTTATGAACGGAAAAATGACAGGTCATCAAAACTAATAAGTAATTCGCCAAAGTGTGTACGTATTGACAGATAAGATGAGGGTTGATATGCCTCACCCATCACAAGCTCAGGACCAATTCAATAACCCATTTTGAAAGTGACTGTAGCATAGATCATAATATCTTCAGTGACATCTTAGAATCCTAAAAGGGTAACTGGGTAGGAAATCCAAGAACTTGACTTTGGTTGTCAATTCCCCCTTATGCTCTGGCTCTCAGTTTCCTCAAATATAAAATAAGGGTGCTAGATAAGGCCATCTTTAAAGTATTTTTGTAGCTCTGACATTCTATTATGTAATGTAATGTTTATTCTGACTCTTCCTTTAGGAAATCTCATGGGAAAATTAGGTTTCTACGTGATGGAAAATGCTAGCTGAGTGGACTTGGATGGGAAAGAAGGTATCTTCTGTTTCTCTCCATCAGGACAATCCTCCTCTTGCAACTCACCTGTCCTTCACCCATCCTCACGTGTGTGTTCTTAGTGACAGAGGGCTGCTCTTACAGAGCTTGTATCAGATGGGGAAAGGTTCCTTCTTTAGACCTCTTGCCTCATTGATTTACCACCATCCATGTTCTCCCTAACAAATAAAATTTTCAGAAAGTCTGATTTCACTTGGGTTTCATATCTGTGTCTCAAGTCTCAGAAGTACAACAAGTTAAACATTTGAGCTGAGGGTCAAGGACAAACATAGGGAATCATCAGCTCTCTGATACGTGAATAGTGGCATAATCTAAATAAAGGCCCCGGGTGTCTTCCAAGGAACATGACAGAAATTTCTTCTCTATTCCCTCAGCATTAAAAAAAAAAGCAATCGGAACGATGGAGCGCTCTGCTCTTCCTAGTCATTCCTCGTGCCCACTTTCTGCAAACTCCTCACTAAACAGCCTCCCTTTTAGACTCAGCCTTGAGAGAGAGGCATTTACTCATGTCTGGCTTAGCTCAACAGAGCCCAACACTTTCACTGGCCCTGCTGTTCTCCATAGAAAGAGACCCAATCAGTGGTATCCATGAATGTATCATTGGTCACTGGTCATTTTCTTAAATTCTTTTGACACAATGCAACCTCTGAAACATAAAGGGTGTGGTTTTCTTCGGGTTGTGTGAGAGTGTTTTAATATGGAGAGACGACTGATGTACACTACTACGCCCTCTTCTGAGATCAGCTTGGTCTCTATTGGCTTAGGAAGGAGAGCCCTCTGCCTCTGAATATCTCGTAAGACTATGGTCAGAGAGTTCATATGTCCTTTTATCTCTTTGACCTTGACCACTGTGCTGATTACATGACTCCACTGAAAAATGGAACAGTCACCTTTGGTCTATCATCTTTAGAATATGGAAAGCAAATAGTTCTGGGGGAAATGAAACCTTCTCTCTCTTTATAGAGTGTCACTTTCCATTGCTCCACGTCTTGGGCCACATCCAGGAACACCAAGAACTCTGGGGAGGACTGTTCTCCAGCACGATTGCTTTGACTTCCTGTTCACAAATCCTTTCTTCTGCAATAATCAATGTTATCATTCAATAGATTTTTTTTCATCTCAAACATTTTAATTTCATCTCTACAAGTTTGATTTATATCTTCCATGTGTCTAACTTTTCAAAAAAGCTATTATAACTGGAACGTAGTTATAACAATTATTTTTAATGACTTTATCCGCTAATTCTAATACCTGTCAGTTCCAGGTAGGTTTGGATTTGTTGATTTTCTTCTCATTGTGGATTGTATCTGAGGATACCAGACAGTGTGAATTTTATCTTGTTTGGTTCTGAGTATTTTGGTATTTCTAGAAATATTCTTAAGCTTTGTTCTGAGACACAGCTCAATTACATGGCAATAGTCTGATCCTCTGGAATGTTGCTTTTAAGAGTTATTATGTGAGACCAGTGCAGTATTCACTAAGAGCTAATAATACCTCATTGCTCAGGCAAGACACTTTTGAGTATCCTACTCAATGCTCTGTGAATTATGAGGTTTTCTAGTCTGGCTCATAGGAACAGGCACCAATGTCAGCCCTATATGAGATCTGGGCTCTGTTTTATCTAATCCTCTCTGGTGGTCCTTTCTTAGCTTTGGGTAGTTTCCTCACACATAAGCACCAACCAGTAATCTGCTGAGCTTTCTGTCCAGCTCGCCAGTGCTGTGGTCTCGCAAGCTATAGCCGCTTTGATCTTTCCCTTCTCAGCTCTCTCTTCAATTCAGGGAATCCACTTGCTCCATCTGAGTTCCCCTTTCCTATTCCTAGACTATCTCACAATGAAGAAACCGAGGCTAGTCATACAGCTCATCATATTTATTTCCAATCTATCAGGAATCACTATCCTTCATTGCCCAATGTCTAGTGTCATGGTTTTATATATTTTTGTGTGATTTTTTTGTTTCTTCCTCAGGTAGGAGGTATATCTGGTTTATCGTATTCCATATTATCTGAAAGTAAAAGTCACCTTTCTTTTTATCATGTTGTGCAGTTGGCTGCCTGTATCCTCAGGCTTCACTTCTATGATTCAACCAACTGCAGATAAAAAATGTTAAAAAAAAAGATGTTATATTGTTACAGATGTATCCTATGTAGTTAGGCCTATGATGGTTGCATCTGTACTGGACATGTGCAGACTTTTTTTTTCTTGTCATGATTTCCTAAGCAATACAGTATAACAACGATTTAGCATTAACATTGTGTTAAGTATTATAAGTAATCTAGAGATGATTTAAAGTATACGGGAGGATATGAGTAGGTTATATGCAAATACATGCCATTTTATATAAGCAACTTGAGCATCTGTGAATTTTGGTATCACCAGAGGGTCCTGGAACCAATCCTCTGTGGATACCAAGCGACAGCTGTAGTTATGTTTTCCTCTAATACCTTCTAAAGTTTACACTAGAATTAGTATTACACTAGTCATTATTCTGTAAGTGTTGCCACACAGCTGTCCAGCCGCCTGTCCCCCTGCCCTTACACCTAAACTGACCCTTTTGAGGACACTTGCGTCTCCCTGTTTGGCCCCAAAAGATGGCTGGCTAGTCAATGACTGGTAAGAGTCCTCGAGGAAGAAACAACCTAACACAGGCACATGGGGGCCATCAGGAGAAATCTTGGAGCTGATAGAGGTGGGCATAGGTCCTCCCCCTCCCCCAAAGAGACGAGGTCTTCTACCCCTGTAGCTACATTCCTTCCCTCAACCTGCTTGGGGAGTGACCTGATGATCTGTCCTCAGCATAATAATCTTATCTTCCTGGGGTCATATGCATATAGGGTGTGTGAAGGCAGAGCATCTGTCTCTCGGTAATAGCAGCTTGCAGGCATGGGTCATCTGGCTCGAGCAAGTTCTGGGAATGAGACTCACAGACTGTGGAGAGAACAATGCTACTTCCAGGTACGTGGAGAAATAAAACCTGCGTGTTGGCCCAATTTGGGGCTCTTAGTCCACGAGGCTGGAGACCCTTGGCCCCACACTCATTTAACTATTGGCTGCTGTTTCTGTTTCTTTTCTTTCTTAACCCTTCGCTGCCCCCTCTCATTCTCCCACTGCCCATGTCGTGAGGGACGCGACATCTAAGGTTTCCAGACAATAAGATTTGTGCTCTGTAATAATATATTTTTTTTCAGTGGATAATAAAGATTTACTTAAATTTGCTATACACACAGTAAAAAGGACTTTCATACTAATATTTTTTCTATCACTTGATCGTAAACATTTTCTAAGAAAGAAAGGTCAGCATATTTATCTCAATGCAAGACTGCAAGACTTCCCTCCTTTCAGTGCAACCCCGAAAAGCTAATCATTTCTACACATATCCTACCACTGCCAACATGAAAGGAGCTTTCCTCTAAGTG